AGTGAAGGATCTTAAGATGATGACATTAGCCTGGATTATTCAGGTGGGCCCTAAGTGTGATTATATCATATATCCTCATAATACAGAGACAGAGGAAAATTTGAAGACTGAAGAGGAGTAAGTGTTGTGATCATGGAAGCAAGAGAGTGGAGTGATGCGGCCAACAACGAAGGGATGTCGACAGCTAGAGGAGGCAAGAAACTGATATTCCCCTAGAGCCTCTGAGGGAGTGTGGCCCTGCTGACACCTTGATTTTAGCCCAGTGAAACTGATTTGGGATTTCTGGCTTCTAGAACTATAATAGAATAAATTGTTGTTTGGGGGTTTTTAGAAAATTTTTTGAAGAGACAGAGTCTTACTCTGTCATTGATCCTCCCACCTCAGCCTCCTGAGTAGCTAGAACTATAGGCATGTATTATCATGGCCAGTTAATTAATTAATTTAATTTTTTCTTCTTTAGCATCACTATGTTGCCCAGGCTTGTCTAGAATTCCTGGCCTCAAGCAATCCTCCTGCTTTGGCCTCCCAAACACTGGGTGTATAAGTGTGAGCCACTATGGCTGGCCTTGTTTTAAGACACCAGATTTGTGGTAATTTGTTACAGCAGCCACAGGAAATTAATATATCTATGACAAGCCATTTGACATTTCTATCAAAAATAAGTGTTAATGCTATCATATCTCATTTCTCAGTTTTAATAAGTGTGAATGAGATTTAAAAGTAAATTCAGTTAATACACCTTTATATGATACCTGCTATACAGGTAAGCTAACAGGATTAGGAAAGCCCCCACCAGGACATCTGGTGTACAGATTGGGAGGGAACAGAAATGGTCTAGGAACTAGTAGATATGTAGAAATGCAAGTGGATCAGGGACCTAACCACAGGATTTCAGAGATAAATTTCAGATCCTACAGCTGTAAACAAATTCTGGTACTAGAGATTCAGCAAGAACAAAAAGCAAAAAGGAAAAAAAAATGAATATAGAATATAGTTTAAAAGCCACATGTTCTTCAGTTACAGAAAACTGAGGCTAACCTGTGTCTCTACAATTTACTAAACATGAAACAAGTAAATTGTTGAGCTCAGGTAACTTCAGTATATTCAGTTTAAGTGGAATTATATCTACCATGTTAGCTTATTCTATGAAAATTAAGTGAAATATTAGCTATGAAAGATTAAATACAGTATTTGGTTCCTAATAGATAAACAGTCCTGTAATATCAACTTTTTAAGAAAAGAGGCACAAATACAGGGTTGACACGGCAGTCAGAGTAGTTTAGTGTTGTGTGACATAATCTTGGGATAATATATCTACATTCTTCCAGCCTACCATCAGGTAGCTACCAAGTGGTACCAAAGACAGAGAAAGAAATAATGCAGACAAGTAATGTGTAAGGGACTGTTACTTATCTAATCAGATGTAATTAAAATATTAAGTAATTAAAGATAATTAAAGAATAGGTAATTAGCTAACACTTTAAAATTAAACCAGAATTCTTCTAAGAATTTCATATGTACATTTTATAATCATTAAATCCTTATGAGAACTCTCTTATCCCCATTTTACAGATGAGGAAATGGAGGCAAAGAAAGATGAATTACCTTGTCCAAGGTCACATAGCCAGAAATTAGTAAATCCGGATGATAACCAACATTGGCTAATTCAGGACCTTTCTAAAAGTAGGAGAAAATGATGGTGGTGTCCTTCTTTTTCAAAATCACACACTGTCCTCTTAGTTTACATATTGAATAAGTAAGTCTGAGTATTTACCATGGGTCAGGGAAATGTTCTTTAATAATCAAGACTGAAACCTTTTATTGATGGCAACTAGTACAAGCCTCTGTAATTATTTACAGGGAGTCTGTATATACCTTTTTATTTAAAACATTTGTGGACAGAGGTGTTTATCCCCGGACAAAAGACTGCCAGAGGAGGCTGGTCAACATTTTTTTTTAAATCCCACCATGAGTAGCCATTCATCTGAAATACTCATGTGCAGAGGTCTTGAGACAGCCTTGTACATTAATATATCCACCTCCATCTGGACATTTATTAGCTCTTATAAGTTAAACAGGAATATATTCTAAAATATTAGGCTTTAAAAACAAGATCATTTTGACCTTTAAAAGCTTTCATTTGAAACCATCACCCTGATATGGAATCAGTATTTTTCAAGCTAAATTGTACTAGAGCACTCTGCTTGGAACTCACAACTACTCTATTGTAGTGACTTCATTTCACCCACTCACCAGGGGCCATTTATACAAATAACAATTTAGTGAATGACATTTGGTAATCCAGGAAAAGCTAAAGTATGGTTGAAAGTTTCTTCTAAGCAAACATAATGTTCCACTATATCACTAAATGAATCCAATACAAGGCCACAAGTACATATATTATTCTGCTTCTTTTTATAAAATAAATTTCTACCTTGTTTATGTGGAGAAAAAACACAAGGTTAATTTAGCTCAAAGGTAAACTTTTAATAAGATGTCAGAGCTCATACCTTAAAACCATAATAAGTACTCATTGCTAGGTTATGAGTTAAAGGGTTTACTCTTTAGGTCCATGAAACTGCTGCATCCTTCCCTAATGAAAAATATCAAACAAAATAAACAAATGGACAAAGTTAGCTAGATATAATGAATTAAAATCATTTAATGTGGATGACTATAATGAGTACCTAATTTTCTATGAAAATAAGTCTGAATTGAAACTGATTAATTATTTGACAGTATAAAAATGAATTAGTATATTTATATAAATTGTTTGGGAAATATATATTCTCTAAGATTACATATTCTTTGGTCTTTTTGTATCCTGATAGATTAGTATCATCTAGGTGTAGATTCACAGGCTTCCTAATGACTTCTATGTTCCTAAATGTTTTAGTATATTATATAGTCCCTTGAAGGAGAAAAACAGAGACAATATGATGTGATCTAGCATACACCATCACCAAAGTTTTTATTTCCTCTCAGCTTTAGTATAATGAACCTTTATCCTCAGATATTTATTTACTGGCTTGTTTATAATCATCACAGACTACTATTACCTTGGAGATATTCTATATTTTCTTCTAAGAGTTTAAAATGCTTTGATAACAATTTAAAATCCTAACTATCCATCATATATAATCATAACTGACATGGAACATAGTGTACAGAAAACAGTATTTATCTACATGTAAGAACAGTTATAAAACTGTTATCTCCATAACAGAGTAGTTATAAGTAAAATGTTTATTTTCAACAAACTATTTGGTAATAAAGAGCAAGCCTTATTCTACCTAAATTATAGATAGGAAACTAAGCAATAAAATGAAATCTTTTGTTCATATTCACACAGAAAAATTGTGAAACAAAATAAGCTATCTCTGGTGCCCAGTTCAATACTGAACAGCTGAAACTCCATTTTCTCTTTCTTGTGAAATATTCACTTTCCCAAAATATATTTGGTCTGCCCAAGAAATATATTCAGGTTACTAATCTCCAGCCCAGCCTTTGAGAAATTTATTTTAAACTTCAGCCAAATTCACTGTTTTAATTATGGAAGACTCACTAGTTTAATAAACCCACTCTACAGTCCACTGCTCAAAGTCTTTGACATCAGGATACTAATAGAGCCAGGTCCAAAATGCAAATGGTGCCATCTGCATCACTACATCCACTCCAGCAGCAGTTGTTAAATTAATAGTACAGTCTGCAAGATAAAACAGCAGAGACCCTGATCATGTGGAACCAGTTGAGTTTCTGTTTAACCTTTCGCTGATAGAAACACATACCCAGTTCAGTCATGGTTCACTTAATCAATCCGTACTCAAGAGCTGTGTCCAATTTCCCTGACCAAAGGAATTAAGAACCAAAAAAGTAAAGAGAACAGTAAGAAGACATTAGTTCCCTAAGTACAAGTATAAATAGGTTTCAACTGAATGAGCTTCAATGTTCTGATTGTGTAGGATGGACTGACCAATCTGGATTGAACTCAACCATTAGGATTAAAGGCATAATATCTGCAGAATGATTTGAGCTCTTCCCAAAAAGGAAGTACATGAAGTATATTTAAAACAACAACAATATGACACTGTAACATAGATTCATATGCTAGTATAATTTAAGGTTAATTAGCACTATTATTTGAAACTTTACTATCTGCAACTGTAGTATATAGTACCAATAATTTTGCACTAGCCAGTTTTTGAATAACATTCAATTTTTCCCCAGAAAAATTCTTTCATTTTTTTGTCTATATCACACAAACATGAGGATTATGAGATGTTAATTTTTGCTCTGGCTCAAACAAAATTATGTGTAACTGACCACTGGGAAAACCTAGGATGCTTAGAAATATATTCTTTTGAATGTCTTTGCTTCCTATAAATTTCTTCAAAGTTTTATGACTACCTGGGTCACCTCCAGAAAGGTGATGTTTGTAAGATGAGCAAGACAATACTGGCCTTTATTAATATGCTTTTGTTGCAAGACTGTAGTTACCAGATTTAATTCAGTTGAAAGGGATATTAATCATGTTGTCTCTGTCCACCATCCCTGGAGGCCCTGCAAGAAAGCTATTGGGATGTGGCATTCTGCAGTGAGGTCATACAATGACACTGCATTTCTACACCAAGGATTGTACAGGTATTGCATAGAATGAGAAATTCAAGTTAAAAAAATTGAGCTCTGACTTATTACAGTAAATTATTAAAAGAAGGAAAAAGTATTTGATCAGTGATTCAAAAAATATATTTGTGGTACTACCTTAGTAAGTACAAACTGGTGATAAATAAAGATTGTCACATATTGTGAGATTTACTTTGATTACAATCTTTAAATATTATTTATACATTTATACATCAAGTTAACTGGGGAGTAAAGGTACTTATTTAGACAATATAAAATATTTGAAACAAAAAAAATTAAACATGAAAATTTTTTTCTCCCATCTGAATATGCAAAAATATATATGCTAAAACAAAATCATAAAATGAAACATTTACCTTTAGTTTGTATTTTCTTTTCAGGTTTCTCCTGCTTTTCAGTCTTCTCTTTGCGTATTTCTAGGGAAAAATGGAATTTGTAATTTAAAAACTCTTTGAAAAAGTACAAAATTTAAACCATAGCTATGACCTAAACTTTATAATTCTACCACAAAGCATAAGTTATTATACAGTATCTAAAGTTTATTGGCATCTAAAAGGAAAGTCTCTATGACATATTGCTGCACAAATCACTTATTTATTGAAATAAGGGAAAATGTAGTTATCTCAAAATTAGAGTTATTTGAAAAACTTAAAATTTAATCGACAGAGATATGTTGTTACCATTTTCAGTGCTAAAATTGATCACAAACTATAATTACATTTTATTTCAATTACTCTCAATACAAATTAAGAATCCTTAATAAGAATGTCATTTAGATTTAAGAAGATTTAGTTTTTACATGTTAAATTAAGAATTTGTGAAATGAACTGTAACAACAATCTAATAGGAAATATATCTCAGAAGTATTGACTCTAAGCTATGTTTACAATCAGCATTTGGCATTACATTTAACCAATAATTACTGCAAGCAGATATGACACATTTCATAGAATAAGTTAGTTGTACATTTTTTCTAAATATCAGGTTTTAGCAGATATATTCAATTTGCAGCTAGCTTCACTATACATATGTTGCCAAGGTTGAGAAAATGAAGTTAATTCTGAATTTGTAGTTAATTTGGATAGAAGTAAATTTGAGATTAGAGTTTACAAATATGATTACTACCTTTGAAAAATGACTTAATCTTAAATATCATGGTTTTTCTTAGAAAAATGCTAATGAAGTTTACTTATTTATTTATCACAACCTTATTCCACAGATGGTCTGAGATGGTGCTCATTACTGCACATAATTTAAATTCTCCATTTGTAAATTCACATTTGCATTTTTGTAATTTTTCCAGAAGTCAACGAAATTAAGACTAAGCATAGAAACACCCTAAATACCTTCAGAAAAGAAAGCTACTTACTTTTATTCGCCTGTTAAGGAGGTACCCACCACTGTGAAGATTTCCTTCCTTCATTTTTCCCATTAATCAGTCATCTTACTATTTATAGGATCATTCTACCCTTATCTCATCCCTGACTTTGAATATGGTAATGAAGATACTAATGAGATAAGGTATTCATTCATATCTCTGGAAAATAAATCCTCCAAAATGTAAGGCAAGATCTCCAAAAAGCATAGGAAATTTCCATCTTCTGCCTTTCTCACCATTTTGTTTATTTCTTCTCTAATGTCTGCAAATTCTACTCTACAGCAGTGTTTCTTATGTGAGCACTATTGGCTTTGGGATCTGGCAAAGCAATATTTGGGGTTGCCATGAGGCTAGTCTGTGCATTTGAGGATATTTAGCACCATTCTTGGCCTCTACCTACTATATTCCAGTAGCTCCCATACTCACCTCCCAATCATGACAATGAAAAGTGTCTTTGGACATTGTCAAATGCCCCCTGCAGAATAAAACGAACCCCAGTTGAAAACCACTTTTCTAAAGTTACATGATATTTCAGCCTAATCACTCCTACACTGTCCAATGCAGTAGCCACTAGACAGGTATGCATATTAAGCATATGATAAGTGGTTAATCTGTACTGAGACAGGTTATAAGTATAAAGTACACACTAGAATATGAAACCTTAGTATGAAAAAGAAATAAAATACCTCACTAATAATTTTTATACTAATTACATTTTGAAATAGCATCATTTTTTATGTATAGGATATGATGGTTTTATTGATTTGTCAATTTGCCTAGGCTACTATTTCAAGTTATTCAAATGAACACTAATCTTGGAGTTCCTTGAAGATATTTTGCAAATGTAATTAAAATCCCTAATCAATTGACTTTAAGTAAGAAGATGATTCTGGATAATCTGGGTGGGCTTCCGTGATTTCATTGGAAAGCCTTAAAAACAGACCTGAGATTTCCTAGGACAAGGGACGAAATTCTGCCTGAGGACAACAGCTTTGGGCTCAAGTTTACCTGTGATCTTTCCTGCCTGATGACCTTTCTTATGGGTTCAAACTTCCTTAGCCAGTCTCTACAATCATGTAAGCCAATTTCTTGTAATAAATGTCTTAATATATAAATGTATTTGCTACTGATTCTGCTTCTCTGAGTCCTGAATAATATGCTGGGTTCAGTAAGACATGCTATTAAAATAATTTCATGTTTTTACATTTTTAATGTGGCTACAAGAAAAGTTTTAATTACATATGTGACTTACATTATATTTCTATCAGACAATGCTGGTCTAGTCCTGGGGGTAGCTAATGACATTTTTAAAACCTTAGGTCATGCACAAGGTTAAATCTTTTTCAAATGAACTGAAAACCAAACTTAATATTCTCCCCTGCCTGTACCCTTCTGCTTCCACTCTCCTCTCAAAAACAACAGAAGCTATGGAGATTTGTGCTTTTATAACTCAGGTCCATAAAGCAAGTACACTGTTAAAGAATTAAGGTGGTCTTTGGATAGGTTAAAGCAATCACCTTTAAGAGATAATTTCTTACTACTAGTAGATATTAATTTGAATACAGAGATAGAATGAAATTTTAAGATTAAAAAATATATGAAATGCCTCATTCATTTTCATATGCGAAGACCTTAGAATGTCATTTAGGAAACTATTCTTTCCTTTAGAGGTAGGATGTGTGTGTGTGTGTGTGTGTGTGTGTGTGTGTGTGTGTGTGTGTGTGTGTGTGTGGTGCATTCCACAGATGCTTGATGGCCATTCAAAAAAATGAGGAAGCAAATCTGAAACACACCTGGGCAGATCAGATATGACTTAGACACTTGTGCAGGATTTGGTACTGAAGGTCATCCTGCTAGAATAACCCTGTCAGAGCTTCACCAAACTTAGATTTTGGGAAATTTGCTATTTGGGCAAGATGGTGGTTTGTGGGACTACTCGACAATCCATGTTGGTCCATAGTAGAGTTTCCTGTGAGGTGGGTGGGAAGTTTAAGCATCAGAGAACAGTTGAAAGAAGTACCAGAGGGAGCTACTTAGTCTCCTTTTAGTTCTTGTGCACGTAACCACATCCTTGTCAAAGAGAATGAGTACCAAATCCTAGCCAGAATTGAAATGAGCAGGGGTCCCTTCTGGAAAAAAAAATAAATAAACACAAATCTCAAAAAGACTGGGATCAGGACCACCATTCATAAAAAGGGAAAGGCAGAGGACCAATGTCTTCTCTCCACCCTTTCCCAAATGAATGAAAGAGAGGTAACTCCTAAGTGGAAGGCATGTTGGATATATTTCACAATAAGTTTTACTTAAGCAAAAATAAATAAAACTAAGGAGAATTTGATGGACAAAAATGGCAATCTATTTCAGAGCATTTATCGCTTACTCTATAAGTGAAGTAGACACAACCCAGTTCTGCTATTCAGACTAACCTCACAGATAAATTTCCAATTTTTTTATTTTCCTGATTCTGTATTCCAGCTTTATACAAACTAAGACAACTTCACTTCTCTGGGCAGATACACTCAGCTTTCCCCCTCAGCAGATTCACTCAGTGGAGGAGACATATTTTTAAAAGACATAATATATAATAAAATCTCCATAGCTCACAACAAAGTAAGATGACTTACATGGGCAGTTTATTTGCAGGAATATCATCAACTAACTTTTTAGTTGAAAGATCACTTTAAGTCCATTAATATTTTTATACATGCAAGTGTAGACAAACACAGCTAAACTAATAAAGGCACACACACCTACATTCTTTGCTCACAGAAGACAAAAAAAGTATTTCCAATTATTCAGATGTAAGGAGAAATTAAAAGTCTCTCTGGATGTTTTATTGCAACATTGCCTTTTCTTTGGGGATGGATTCCATTACTGGTGTCACTGACTGTGGATATCTGATGTCAGAAGAATCCAATGAAGCCTCTGCATGGTGTGCCAGTTCTGTTTCTTATACTTCAGCCAAGAAATAATGACCATGCAGGCTTCCGTCCAACTGAGTAACATGTTACCAATTTAGACTTCAGAAAGACATTTTTCTCATATACAGAGGATGCCTGATTTTTTACCTTCAATTGCTTTTTCCCGCCAAGAACCATTTGTATAAAATTGGAAAATTAAATTTAAAAGATTCAAGTTGTTAGAGGTTGCCTTATGATTTTCAACAAACTTCAAAGAAAAATAAAATTTGCTGTATTATATTAATAGTAACTTCTAGTTATTCAATAACTCCATAGACAAGTGAATGTGTCCACTTTGTGGAACATGACAATAATGTATAATGGCACAAAATTGTATTTAATATCATGGCACTCTTTAAAAAACATTTCACTTAAAGCTGAACGAAACCTGGATACAAGGGACTAAGAAGAAGGTCAAGGCAGTCATTATTTACTTCCAAATATATGTCCTTTGCAATTAGGTGGAAGTTAGGTGTCTGTGCAAAGGTGTTAAGTCTCAGCGCCAGATGCTAGTTGAAATCATAAGCCACTTATGTACCCAGTAAATCTTAAAAATTGTTTGGTGGCTTAGAAGGCACAGAGGTCAAAGTATCTTAATCCAGGTGTGAGGCTGCTCATGTCCTTAAAGGTATGTGTTTCCACTTGAATTTTGAGAATTAAAAAAGGGAAAAATAATACAAAAAATAATGACAATTAATTATCTCAATGTCTTAGAAGTCAAAGGGGGATCTCTTTTTTTCTACCAACTGAGTCATTGGCAGCCTTACCTAATAAGAAATAATTAGTACTCCACCAGTGTTTCCTATGTCAGTAATGGTGTCAAGGGTGTTGAAGGATTTAAGAGAAGGGCAAGTTACTGCCAGAGAATGTGAGAAGTACCTTCCTGCTTCTTTTACTACTCCTAATTCTCCCCCAACACTTTTCTGGATGCTTGTAGGGAGGTATGAGTGAAGTGAAGCATGGAGAAAAAAGTAGACATCTCCTCTTAGATTATTATTATTTATCTCTCCCTCTAAAAGGAAAAACTTTTGAAATCAACAGAAAACTTTAGTATGCTAAGCTTTAAATGCATTTAGAA